TGTAGTGTTAGACCTGGAGCCTTGTGTTTGTCTTCCTCCTTCACAGAGAGTGAATTATATGGCTTGGCGTGTCTTGTGGGTTGCTTTAGATTCTTAAACTGCCTTGTTACTAAAACATGTATGGGCCATATGAAAATTTGTTTTATTTTTCCCAGATTACTTGTTTTCCTTTTCAATTTTTCAATTTTAATAAATGTTAATTATCAAAAAGCATATCTTCTCAACTGAATTCATAAAACTTTTCAATGTATAATTTTTTTAACTATTAAAAATTATGGTGACCATTAATGTAGAAATTCTGTGTGTTCTGTTTAAATTTTTCTGGATTCTGTGTTTTACCATTTAATACAAATGTATTATCAAAAACAATTGAATTAATATTTTAAAATGTAATCAAATGAAAATTGAACAATTACTTAAATTTTTTGGCAAACAAAGTGCTGCATAAAAGTCACATATGTAACCTTCGTTCCCTGAAGGAGGGAACGGAGACGTTACGTTAACACTGACGTTGGGGGTCTCACTTGAGAGTCCCAATCACCTCCGAGTAGTAAAATAACAGGCCAATGAACATTGCAGAGTGAAATTTGCTTGCCCAACCACTCCCCAGTACACACGTTTCAGGTTCCACTCATTCAGGTTTGTGCTGAGGAGCCAAAACCATGTTCCGGCCATTCAGCGGTGTAGTTCAAGGTTCAATAGTTACATATGTAACCGAGACGTTCCCTTTCAGTCAGTCATATTCGACGACACTGACGTTAGGGGTCCCTATGGAAAACGCCACAACCACTGAACTGTGTTACGAGGGTTGGTGATGCAGATGTGATGCTCTCATCTACCAAGTAACAACTGGCATCCCAAATCGCAACTTACCCAGTGCCCCATCTTCAGCCGAATAGTCTTTCTTACTGAAATGGAACTGAAAAGACTCACACCGAGGAGGGTCGCAGCTGCTGCTCCTTTACCCAGAGTAAAGACTGCTTCAGCTCTCTCAATTCCAGCCATGACCAGTTGCATTACACTGGGGAAGCGTGCCTAAGTCAGTGCGGAGAAGGATGCTATGAAGACCACATCCTGCCCGAAGGGAGGTAACATGTAGAGAGTACTCATATGGGCTGACAGCAGGGCAGTACTACATATGACATAAGTCACTGCGGTAGATCCTGCCAGAAAATGGGAGGAACTACTACCAAATCAGAGACTAGGCAGAAGTAATTCTATCAAGAGAAGACACAGGTTTACCAACAGGAAAACTGTACTGTGGAAGAATACATACATGGGATTACCAGAAGCGAATCATTATGTGAAGAGTGGGGCAGGGCCGAGAGCCGTGGGAGCGGAGCGAGGCCTGTGGAGTTAATGATAATGAGCCGTTCACCATGTTTGGGGAGGAGCAGGGAACGGGAGCCATCGCCATCCGGAAGGATAAAAGGAGGGGTGACGACAGTGTTGGATGAGAGAGGACCAGGCCTGGATTTTATGTTGTTGTTTTATGCGGCAGTCGTCCGTGAGAGGCTGCCGCTTTTACTTTCATTTTGTGTTTGTTTGTTTATTTATTTGTTAAAGTATGTTTAAATGTTCGCTGGTTCCCGCCTCCTTCTTCCCGATCTACGAACTGTGTTACATTGGTGCCGAAACCCGGGAGGAAGGAGGGACACGCTGCCAGAGAGCCCTCGCTGCTGAGGGGGATCACGGTGCTAAGGAGGTCGGGCAGCAGGAAGGAGCGGAGACTGCCGGTGGCTGCCTGAGGTGGTGGTGCTGGAATGATGGAAGACGAGGTGGGACGGAGGGATCGCTACTACGCTCCTTGGTCAAGGAGGGGTGGCTGCCGTCCGAGAGGGAGCGGAGGAGTCGGCGCCGTTCACCATGTTTGGGGAGGAGCAGGGAACGGGAGCCATCGCCATCCGCCAGGAGGCAGAGGAGCATCGGGCCGTCCACCAAAGATGTCCAGTACCATGGCACCGCGCATGGCACCGCGAGTAGCATGGCACTGCGAGTGAGAGCCTCTCAGTTGGTTGAGGACCAAGCAGCAGTGTGTCCAGGAACCGGACCAAGAATTTTTTATTTTCCTCTCTCCCCTCTCTCGTCTCTGTCTCTCTTCATCCTTCCGTCTCCTTTTCTCTCGCCTCCTCTGTCCTTACTCCCAGGTACACTGCGGCCGCTGTGATCGGATCCCCCCAGAGGGGGGGGGGAGTAGACCGCAGTCTCGGGAGTACCCCCAGCCTGCGAGGGGCGATGGGGGTATGTGGCGAGTGAGGCGGGGGCAAGAGCGAGAGCCGTGGGAATGGAAAGAGGCCGGTGGAGTTAATGATAATGAGCGACACCTGCGCCACTCACCGGTCTCACGTCCCACGGAGGAGCTCCGGAAGGATAAAAGGAGGAGTAACGACAGTGTTGGATGAGAGAGGACCAGGCCTTGATTTTCACCAAGCTCAGTACAGGGACTGACTGAAGGGGCAAGCAAACACAAGAACTGAGCATGGCATCAGCCTCCTCCGCCGAGCCTGACAGCCGAAGGGTGCTGGAGGATGCTCAGTCCAGGGTTCGTCAGGTGAGGAACACGGATGTAGAGATGCATAGCGCTCACACTCCCTGTTGGACCAGTGGCGGAACAGAATGAAACAGACGACTCTCCCCGGCCCTCCTCCAGTGGGGAGGAGCAGTGTATTCACCACTTCCTGGGCAAGAGCAGTCCCCTCTATCTCTGGGTCATCTGAGTCAGGGCCGCTTCGCTGTCCACTTGGAGGGCTTAGCAGCTGCCTGGGGCACGGACTGCGTCGCTTTCCTATGGATGGCCCAAAGTTACAGGCGACGCCATGCCGGAGCAGATGCAGAAACGGAGGGAGATGCTTTCGGCAGCGAACAGACTGGGGGCCAGCCCTAGGCAGCCTGGTGGCGGTGGTCACATGACGGGGCAGGATGCGTTTGATGGCTTCCGACTGTTTTTGATCTGTCTGAGAGTGTCGCCGAAAAGGCCAGCTTGGGTGTTGGGGACGTCAAGAAAGTGCACTTTGTCGGTGTTGCACATCTCCACAAGGTTCAGCCAGAGATGGCTCTCCTGGACCACCAAAGTGGACATTGCCTGGCCGAGGGCCCACGCAATGACCTTATTCACCCAGAGGCAAAGTGGGTCACCGTGTGCGGTTCCTCATAACTACCCCCATGCAATACAGTGCTTTGGCCTGATATATTTGCAGTATGGCCATCGCATACAGGGTGGAGGCAGCCTGTCCATTGGCAAGTAAGTCTGAGCAGTGAAAGCTGACATCAGCTCACTGGCCAGGACAGGAGGCATGCATGAGGCATGTAAGCACTGCAATCACACTCTCCGTCTGGGGAATCTCTGTGCACTCCCAGGTGGCCCCAAAATCAAGGGTAGTGAGTGTGGAGGAGGTTGCGCGATGGTACGTGACACGAAAGAGGAGTGGGAGGTCCGTGGGGACTGACCAGGCAAACAGCTCACGCTATAATCCTCTGATCTTCCAGAGCGTTAGTCAGCGTGAGGCTGAGTAGCGGCAGAGGGGACTCAAGCATTCACGAAGATAGAGAGTTGTGATCGCAGTGTCACCATGGTTATGCTCTTGCAGCGAGGGCATAAACCATCCACAAAAACTGTCTCAGCATGCTTATCAGGCACGTGAGACAGCGACTGTGGCCATCAGAAGAGGCCAAAAAAATGACCACATCCAGAAACGCACAGACGGAGAGGCATCTTTAAAAAGATGCTCACTGCCGTATTGCTCTTTTAGGGTAAACTGCTCTTTTATTTGCTGAAGCACCCAAGGGGGAATCGCTGCACTCATCTGTGCAAAAATACTGGCGGAACACAGCTGAATGCGCCGTCAGAATCGCCAGCAGCAAGAGAGATTTTGCTTCTCTTCTACTCTTTTGGAGATGAATGGGAGAGTGATCGCTCAAACACAAACAACCACTCGGCTCCGAAGCAAAAATCTGAATGAGTGAATGCATGCCGCCCTCTTGTATACCCGTGTACGGGGGAGTGGCTGGGTATGCAAATTCCACTCGCTAATGTTCATTGGCCTGTTTTTACTACTCAGTGGTGATTGGGACTCCCAAGTGAGACCCCTAACGTCAGTGTCGACGTAATGTCAAACGAATATTGAATTTCATAAGGCTTTTTATTCCAATCATTGGTATCTTATTGTCTAAGTGGGCGGTTCTTGGGTGGAAAACGTTATAAAATGGACCAGACATTTTGCCATTAGTCAGAAGTCTTTCTGTGGGACACTAAACAGAGGTTTAATTCATGTTGGCATAAAGGTTGGGGAAGTAGATTAGTTCAGGGGAATTTGGGGGGGGTTTGCAGCACAATGAGACAGATGTTTATGGTGCAGAAGTCAATGACAGAATGAGCAAGTGCTGGAATAATATACATTTTGTCTGAAATTATTTAACCATGAAGTACTGAATGCAGTTTTCTGCTAGCCCTACTTGAACCCAACATTATTCATGTGAGATATGACTTGCTACATAAATCAATGTATATATGAATGATCATATCAATGCACGATCATATCGTTGATGAAGCTTTATGATGAATATAATAACTTTTTTTCTGAAAATGTAAATTTTGATTGCCTATGCAGAACTGACTTACTACTGTGAGGTATTTTGAGTAGTTTTTTTTTATTTTGGTACACTACCATTCAAAAATGTTTTGAAAGAAGTCTAATATGCTCACCAAATACCGTAAAAATAGTAATAATGTGAGATATTATTAGTTTGAAATAACTGTTTTCTATTTAAATATATTTTAAAATGTCATTTATTCCCGTGATGCAAAGATGTACTTTCTGCATCATTACTCCAGTCTTCAGTACAAGATCCTTCAGAAATCGTTCTAATATACTGATTTGCTGCTCAAAACAGTTGTGCTGATTAGTCAGTGGTTTAACTACTTATTTTTTTCCTAATGAAAATGCTGTATATGGGGTAAATAAACCTTATGACATGACTTACACTATTTTTTTTTCTTTCAGATCCACATATCAAAGTTAGTGGTAAGAGGGACAATGTGAAGGAAGCCAAGGAGAAGATCATGTCTGTTCTGGACACTAAGGTGAGCATGTCAAGTCATATTGGGTAATTCTTATTTGATATGTCATTGTGCATTTCAAAAATGCCTCATTCGTCATCCCTGTCATTCTTGGTTGCTGTAGTAGCTGGATGAATTGGTTTTAGGACAGCTGTGACATTTGAAGCAATGGAATTTGAAGATCCTGAGAGGAAATATGTGGAGCCTGACATCAAGAGCTCCTCATATACAGTATTTATAAGGAATGAATCATGGCTTAAATCACACTGGGCAAAAGGAAGACAAATGTCATTGCATGGTACCTTTGGGTGACTCTGAAGCCATTGGGGGTTCAGGAGCAGCTGACATCTGTGGTATCTGCTTTATCAAAACATTAGAGATTGTTATAGAAATTGTACAACTGATTTTAGACTATATCCATTCTTCTGGTAATTTGTGCCAGACAGAATGCAGAACATCCACCAACTCCAACTGAAGAGTTTGTTGTAACATCACTATATATTTGTGTGGTAATTCCCTAAAATTGTTGATGTGAAATGGGAAATGTTGTGTATTGACATCTGTCTGTAGACTTGATGTAATGAAAAACTGACTTGGCTGTAGCTCATTGATCTAATTCAGTCTGTCACAACTTTAATGAAGCTACTCAAAGGGGCGGGATCTGTTTTCCTGTATTTTAAAGTGAAGCAATTTTGTTCACTTTTAAAATATGTTCAGTGTTTCAATATTGAAAGTGCAAGCAACTTCCTCGGCTCAAAAAGCACTGCATTGATGCTAAGCACAATTAGCCACCATGAGCAAACACGGCGTATTTTGAATCAGATGCTTCTGGGAAGTCCTGTGCCTGCCAAGCAAGTATCATTGAGTCATTGAGATAAATAAGTAAAAATAAATGCAATAAAAACAGTAATATTGTGAAATAGTTTTACAATTTACAATAACAGTTTTGCATTTGAATATATTTTCAGATGTAATTTATCCCTGTGATGGCAAAACTGAATTTTCAGCGGCCATTACTCTATTATTATCAATGTTAAAATCAATTGTGCTGCTTCATATTTTTGTGACACATTTTTTAAATCAGATACTTCTGGTATATATGCGGTACTTCTGATATATATGGGAATGCTATTGGACAAATAATGGCATAGAAATGACACCTTTAAACCGAGGTGGCTATGGTACCGCAGTTAATACAATCCGACTCTTTTGTTTCCTCAGAGCAATCGCGTGACTCTAAAGATGGACGTCTCACATACCGAGCATTCACATGTCATCGGCAAAGGGGGGAACAATATCAAGAAGGTGATGGAGGACACGGGCTGTCACATCCACTTCCCCGACTCCAACCGCAACAACCAGGCTGAGAAGAGCAACCAGGTGGGATTCTGACTTACCCAGCTCATGTAAACATGTCCAAATCTCATTTCACCCCAACAATCAAAAGAGAAAATATAAGAAACTGCTGAAATTTGTGCATAAACAAAAATGACGCCTATTTTTAGGACCGGTAGAATCTTTATTATTTTAGCATTATTTTTATAATAATTAAGCACAAGTTTTCATTTACATAATGTGTATGTACGTTTTACTTTGTTATTATTTTCAGTAGCTGTAATTCAGTATTTTTTTTAAATAATTGAATAAATATCACTGCAATAATATGTCTTAATTAGGTATGATTAATTGTCATATAAATAATGATAAATGTCAAAAATTGTGATGTTCTAAAAATAACTTTTTTATTAAAAGTAAATTAATCAATCGGTGATAAAACAAGTATCTTATGCTGCATTTATTCGATTTAAAAAACAGAGTAAAAAACTGTGCTATTGTGTAATATTATTACAATTTAACTGTTTTCTGTTTTAGATTACTGTAAAATGTAATTGTATTCCTGTTGAATTTTCAGCATCATTCCTCTAGTCTTCAGTGTCACATGATCCTTCAGAATTAATTCTGATATGCTGATTTGATGCATTAGTAAGAAACATTTCTAATTTTTTATAAAAGTTGAAAACAGTGCTGCTTAATATTTTTGTAGATACTGATAATGTTTTTTTGTCCAGATTATTCTTTTTTTATTAAAAGTAAATTAATCAATCGGTGATAAAACAAGTATCTTATGCTGCATTTATTCGATTTAAAAAACAGAGTAAAAAACTGTGCTATTGTGTAATATTATTACAATTTAACTGTTTTCTGTTTTAGATTACTGTAAAATGTAATTGTATTCCTGTTGAATTTTCAGCATCATTCCTCTAGTCTTCAGTGTCACATGATCCTTCAGAATTAATTCTGATATGCTGATTTGATGCATTAGTAAGAAACATTTCTAATTTTTATAAAAGTTGAAAACAGTGCTGCTTAATATTTTTGTAGATACTGATAATGTTTTTTTTGTCCAGATTATTCTTTTGTAACATTATAAAAGTCCTTCCTGTCACTTTTGATCAATTTTATGCATCCTTGCTGATTAAAAGTATTAATCTCCTTAAGAAATCTTTTGAATGGAAGAGTATTTGCAAAAATAATAACATAATTTATACTTATAAATTATATGTATATTTAAAATTACATTCTTGTTATTTTGGGATGAAACATGACCTGGACATGATCTTGACAGGTTTCTTGAGATATCCACCCAAATATTATTATGCATATTGTCTGCAGCCTAAGGGAGGATAAAGACTGAGCCATAATTGGATGCGAGACAGGTTTCCAGACTTGATGAAGTGGGGAATGTGGAAATTGAGCAATGGCATGGCATGGTTCAGAGTGGCTGGTACTTGCTGACAGGTGAATGAGTCAGGCTAGAATGAAGAAATCTCACCTCCTAGTGGTGCTTGCATGATAACATTTGGCAGACGAGTATTTTTCATTCTTAAGGGATTAGTTCACCAAAAATGAAAATAATTTACTCACCCCCATGTCGTTCCAAGCGCATTACTTTGTTTTGTTTTTTTCTGTGGAAAACAAATGGAAATCAAATAAAACTTTCAGAGGAGGAGCCTGTATGACTTGTGCAGTATATTCATTCATCATGTCATCATTTAAAGGAACACTCCACTATTTTTAAAAATAGGCTCATTTTCCCCGGAATGAGAGTATAGTTCCTAGCCATATCGGCCTAGAAAATCGCAACTTTTCATTTTCCGTCAGTCTTAGTACACTTGTAACTACAGAAGAGTCAAGTTTTAAGTAGGAAAAATATAGAAACTCTTTGGTCTTTTTTGAGCGAGATGCTAACGGTCTAATCAGATTCAATGATCTATGCTAAGCTACAGCTAAAAGTGCTACCGCCAGACCCGGAGATCGGCTGAATGGATTCGAAAACGGTAAAACTCAACTGTTTAACTCTAGGGGAGTTGGAAAATGAGCCTATTTTCAAAAATAGTGGAGTGTTCCTTTAAATTAATTTTTTTATTGTTTTAAGTCATACCAAATGATGTACTAGACTCCACTTCCTTTACTTCCATGAACATGCATGTGACTTTCTTGTTCCTTTTTCTGCAGGTGTCCATAGCTGGCCAGCCCGGAGGAGTGGAGGCCGCCAGAGCCCGAATTCGGGTAAATAAATATTTATAATATGATAAAGGCAGGAAATAGAAGTGGGAGGCTGCTATTTATCTTGAGGAAGTTGACAGGTACAGGGGGTGTAAACATAAATGATTTTTTTTTTTGGATGAGATAAACACATTCCTCAACATCCCAGCGGTCATCTTGGCAACACAACAAGCAGCATTCATCTTTCTCCGGATGTTTCTAGTTGAGAAAATAGTGCTTGAATCAGAACTGCTGCCCTCTGTTGGTATTGTGTAAGCATTACAGCCACTTCTATCCATTTCAATGGCATAAACACCTTCCTTTCACAAAGCTGTACAGGCAAAAGCCTTTTAATAGGATAAAACATGAGGAATAAGAAAGTTGTAAGAAGCATTTGACACTCAAGGTCTTGAGTTTTACTTATAAGACCAACTTTAATAATGGTTTGATGCAGAACACATGGTGCCAATTGAAGCTGGTTTGAAACTGCAGTTCTAGTGATATCTTGACTGTTTGGCCGAGTGTCGCCTGTGTACTCCTGCTCCATCCAGACTCTCTCCTCAGATTTCACCAGCGCCAGGGCTCTGCACACGTGCTTCCTCCTCAGATAGAACCAAGAAAAACAAGCCAAAGCATTCGAGCACAGCGGGCTTCCTTAGTGTTTGCATAAAGACTGAGCCCCAATTAACTCGAGGACGTTCTACACAAGAAACTATCATAAGCCTTCACTATTGTTTCACGAAGCAATTTGTATAAAATGAGTACCTTTGAAAAACCCAGGCCGCTCCATTTTGCATGTACAAAACATATCTGTGGGTGAAATGTACATTTGAGGGAAGGATGTTAGTGGGACAGCCTCACTTTTTCTCTTCCTCGTTCAAGTGACCAGAAATGCTGGGAATTCTTCTCGTGACCACCTAATCATCTCCTTTTTCCTCTTTTCTCTCTTCAAAAGACCTTCACCCACATTAGTTTTGGTGCTTTATTGTGCCATTGCACCCATGTGAATGGTATAACGCGAGCATAATTCTCACTCTTAACCTCAAGTCAGGTTTTCAGTCTCTTTTCAGACCAACTTGTTTGTTTGTGGATTGTTGTGGTAAAGTTCGAATGCAATGAAATGAACCCTGACAGGTTTCTGTCCTACCATTAAAAGTGAAGGGAACCACAAGTTAAAAGATCCAAAAAGGTTATAAAGAAGGCTTAAAACAAATCCTTTAGAATCAAGCTGTTTAATCCAAGTCTTAGATAAAGTCCAAGTCCAAGATAGGGATAAATTCACGTTATATGATAACTAAATGATGACAGAACTTTTATTTTTGCAAGAACTGTCTCTTTAATGTAATGTTCTACAAAGTTCAATGATAAGTTACAGTGTCCACAATAAAAAAAAAAGAAAAAAGTATTTTAACATCTTTTGTTTTAATTGTATTTGTGATAGTTTTGATAAATTGTCCATTTTCAAGAAGAGCGTGTGTGTGTGTGTGTGTGTGTGTGTGTATGTGTTTAACAAATAAAAATTCCTACATTTTGGGGAATTGCATTACATTTTACAACCTGAACTGACCTTGTCTTGTCATGAAAAGTTTTTTTTTCCTCTAAGAAATGATAATAAAATATTATTCCAAACTTAAAGGCATAGTTCACCCAAAAATGACAATTCTGTCATCATTTAGTCACCCTCATGTCATTCCAAACCTGTATGAGTTTCTTTCTTCTGCTAAACACAAAAGAAGATATTTTGAAGAACATGGGTAACCAAACGGAAATGGAAAAAATATATATAGTGTATTATGGAAGTCAATGGCTACCGTCAACTGTTTGCAATAACATGAGGGTGAGTAAGCAATGACAATATTTTCATTTGAAGTAGGTTTTATGATATAAGGACACTTGTATCACCATGACATTTTTTTTACATTATGGCCCCCAGTAACTATCAAAATGTATTTTAATTCAGAAATTAAAAACGTCATCACAGAAGAGTTGTATTCAACATTGAGCTTCATGTCATTGACCCACAAGCAAAATGCTTGACCCCACGTGCTTGGCCATGTCTCAACGCTTGAGTGATTAGCCCATTTAAAGTTTAGCCTTGCTTTCTCGGAGGAGACGAGTTCATTTCAATGGAATGATCAACAGATCATCTTCCTCGCTCTATGGATGCGTGTTGTCTGTGAAAACAGAAAGCAAATACAGAAGTTATTGATTCCACAGAAGGTCAGAGGAAAGCTCAAACCTCTTGTTTGTAAAAGATCGGAATACAGCACTCCTCTCCAAATTCCTTAATAATAAGCAAAACAAAAACACAGAAGGTTTTTGTTTGGAAAGCTCCGCTCATAGCCGATGCATAAGCCTTTAGTTAAAAATAAGCATAGTTATGTTTTTAATAGCTGAAAATGAGGAGAACCATTAACAAAGATGAATGATTGGAATTCCAAAGCTCGCTCCATGACGGATACCCTGCTCCCAGCTAAAGTTGAACCTAATAAACATCTCCTTGTCTAAAGGGAGAGTGACTGTCCTGACCACATCTAAAGGGGAAGAGAATGTCTTTCATTTTGGCCCCCGGTACAGAACATGAGGGTGACTGGAGCCCCCAAAGCATATGGGACTGATCAGAGCCGCATTTTTAAGGCTTGGCCATTCATTCTGTTTACCAATTCAGTTTGGTAAGGCACTGTTTGCTGGGCTTTTGATGACCCTAAATCACAGGAGAATGATGGGAAATATTTGCTTATTCCGCTTTGTTTCTAAAGACTTCATGGCTTGAAAGTCGGCCAAATGCCCTGCTAGCAGTAACTGTAATTTTTACCAGCATTCATTCAGAGCAAACCATGTTGTTTACATTTTAAAGCCAAGCGCACACTGTCTTGTCGCCCTGTGCACATTTAAAAACTTGAGTTACTTGTTTAGTATTGTCAAAATCATTATGCGCACAAGTGATTGTAGACTGTGTGCATCAGTTACAGTCGATCTCTTTCTCAGCTGTGGTTATAGTCCCAAAAATGCATTCCTGCTCACAGCTAAGCAGGAGTTGATTCTTGAAGCCTTCAACCAAAAATGAAAATTTGCTGAAAATTTACTCACCCTAGGCCATCCTAGGTGTAGAGTTTGTTTCTTCACCAGAACAGATTTGGAGAAATTTATTACAAATTACATCACTTGCTCAGCAATGGATCCTCTGCAGTGAATGGGTGCCGTCAGAATGAGAGTCCAAAAAATCTAAAGAAACAAATCCATCAAGGTGTTTTAACTGTAAACCATCACTTCTGGCCAAAATATGCGTCCATCCATAATATCCACAATAATGTTTCCTCCAGTGGAAAAAGTCCATCCCCTATTGTCCTCTCACATCAAAATCCACAGACATATTTGTTTACAACTGTTTTTATTTATTATTATTGTTGCTTATAATCGGTGCTTCATTACTGATAGAGGATTTTAGCGGTTTGAAGCCAAAAAAATCTTGATGAATTTGTTCATCCAGACATGCAGCTTTTCACTTCACAAGATGTCAAATGATGTCGACTTGAGTGGTGTGGATTACTTGTGGATTATTGTGATGTTTTTATCAGCTATTTGAACTCTCATTCTGACGGCACCCATTCACTGCAGAGGATAAAAAAAAAATACTTTTAGGATTTGACACGTGTGTATTCAATGCAATTAATTTTTCACAAGGAATATCTTGGGCTGTTGCTCATGTGGGAGACATGGGTTTGAATCTGTTCCTGCCCAGTCCTCCTGTCTTCCCCATAGTTTCCTGTTTACTCTATTCTGTCTCTTTGTATTAAAATGTTTCAAAAGCCCCCCAAAAAAGATATGGCCATTTGAACCAGATTGGGTCTGTTGATGAATTACCCATAATCCTTACCTGCCACCAGCAGAAATCACAAAACTGATATCAATCTAATTAATATAATTCAGCATTGATCATTTAGATTACATTAACTGATAGGTCTGTTGGTCTTCTTTCAGGAGCTGCTCCCGCTGGTGTTGATGTTCGAGCTGCCAGTCATAGTGCAGCTGAACCCTGACCCCAGCTCTCCTGCCATCCAGCACATCTCCCAGACATACAACATCTCTGTGGCCTTCAAACAGAGGTCCAGACTCTATGGAGCGACAGGAGTGGTGCGGGGCTCACAGAATAATGCTGCGGCCGTGAAGGTGAGACATTCATAAACACGTATATGGGGCAAATTCTCCAGTTGCAGTTTGTTTTTTTCCCCCTATATTATACACATCACTTTCTGAATTTAGAATATTTCATTGCATTGTGTTTTTTTGGGAGGTATTTTTTTTTATTTTTTTTTATTTTTATTTTTTTATAGAATTAATGTTCTCAGTCATTTAAATATTAACTATCATTTAAGTATCAACTTCACTAATAACATCTTTCCCTCCACTGCAGCTCTCAGATCACATTTGCATTTTTGCATTTGCAATGTTAAGTTTTCTAATGTAAACCTAGCATTGTGTTATTGATTGATATATTTGGTGTAATCTTACAGGACAAAACAATATGTCTTGCATGGCTTAATGTAGAGGAAAATAAAAGATTTCTCAGCAAAGGAAGAAATCACAGGACTTATTGTTAAAAGTGGCACAGTATTTGGAGTCTTTGAATATTGCATACATTAGGAGGGTTGTGAAAATTTTATAATGCTTTAAAGTTGGGATATATGTGCTGTGGTATCTAAGATATGTGACCCTGGATCACAAAACCAGTCATAAGGGTAAATTTTTCGAAATTGAGATGTATACATCATCTCAAAGCTGAATAAATAATCTTTCCATTGATGTATGTGTCAGACTCTGTCCCGTGTTTTGTATGTGTTTTTCTCTGTGACCCAGTTTCTGTCTCCCACGTATTCAGTTAATTTCATCCCAGGTGTTTCTCATGTGTAATTTTCAATGATCCCAGATGTGTCTCCTTAGTCCCTCATCATCCTGTGTTTAAAAGTCTGAGTCCTTTTAGTTAGTGTGTTCCGGTATTGTTTTTGTCTCCTCCTCGTGCTACGTGTGATTCCCTGCGATACAAATAAACTCTTTGGTTTGTACTCCTGGTCTCCTCGTTCCGTGCTCCTCACAGTAGCAAACACGTGACAGAATACCGGACCAAAACAGAAAGTGAGCGGCGACTTTTTTACTCGCGTTTGTTTTTTCTGCTTTTTTTGAAAAGTTTTTTGTTTTCCTTGTTTTACCCGCGGCTATGGAAATTGCTGCTCGCTTCTCCGCCCTAGCTCGCCTCGATCTCCCCTTCTACGAGTACGCCAGGGAGTTCTGCAAGCTCGCCGCGGTGACGGCATTTGAGGACGCCGTCCTTAATCAGCTGTTCTGGCTCGGGGCCAACTACCATCGCCCCGTGGACCTCCCAGACACCACTGGACTAACTTGGAGGGAAGG